CCTACTATATATATATATATATATATATATATATATAGAGAGAGAGAGAGACTGGTTTCCAAGCCAAAGAAAAAATGGAGGCGAAACACCAAAAAAAAAAAAGGTGTGAATTGTAGCCTCCCATAATCAGCAGTAGGTTGAGTGAGAATGGCATGAGCATCAACCCAAAAATAGGGAATTTAGATGAGTAGCAAGGTACAACACTATTAAGTTAGGAAGAAACGAAGAAAAATAATTGCAAACCCACTAATGAACTTAACTCCAAAGATTCTTGGCTAAGAATGCACGTTGAACATTGGTCCTCCACATGATCAGCTTGAGGGAAGTGTAAGAGACAACAAGAGATTCTAAAGATAACTCCTAATCTCCTAGTCTTTATGTTGAAAGTAGTTATAACCATGATGTATACATGTAATTTTTATCCATATCATGTAATCTTATCTATAGTTACCCGAATCGCCCACTGGGGTAGCGATTCCGTTTCGGAATCTTGATTATGCGTTTCCCAGGACCAAACTCGATTCTGAAAGAAAGGAATCACATTTCAAAGTTTCTCGAAACACGATTCAATTTAGTTTATGAATCTCGGTTCCTGGAAGCCTGGAATCAAGATTCCATATCGCAAACTTTGTGATTCTTAGCTAGGAATCGAGAATCGATGTTGTTTGGAATCAAGCATCTATATCGCAGACATCGCGATTCTTAGCTACACAAAAATGCCATTCTACTTGTACGAAACGTTGATTCCAAATTTTTTAGGAATTGCAAATCCATGTTGTTGAATCCAAATTTTTAGGAATTTCTATCCTTGTATTCGAATTCCATATTACTTTTTAACAACTCTTACCAAGAATAAATATTACTAAAAAAAATTTGTTACTTCAAATTTAATAATTTTTGGTAAATGATGAAGGTACAAATGTAATATTGTTTAATATAATATATGATGGGTTACTTTTCTTCAAGTAGAATAAGAGGATAAGAATATGAGTGAAGTCCCCTATGGTGTTTTAGGTCAAATTAATCATTAAATATCAGAAATTGACTTTAAATTGAATTTTCAAAAGTCATAACTACATTTAACAAAGAAGAATTTCTATGTCATATGTTTATTCTATAATTCAAGGAAAGGAGATAGAGGGAGCTTGCCCTTGATTTCACTAGTTGTATGTCGTAGACCAGCCCTAGGCCTTGTAGGCGAAGGGTTGTTGGTAAACCGAGTCCATTGTATGAGATTGTTGACAAAGATATCATAAATGTTGACATTGGTAATTGGACTAAATATATAAAGATTAAAATTCAATCTTGTAATAATGATAAAATTTAAATATTTTCTTAGTACTTCTCTCATATGCCAGAGGGGATTAGTGCACAATTCCAGTATGGGGAGAATCTCAATTCCTAAATGGTGAGAATCTTGATTCCAAGTTGATGCGGACAATGATTCCAGAATATTAAGATTCACGATTCTCTATTTTTAGGAATCACGATTCCAGGATCCACTGAACTATGTGGGGTTAGGTGCGATTCCATATAGGTATGAAACTCGAATCCAACATGAAGGGACATCAATTCTTCCAAATAGGAAATACGATTCCTACTCTATTGAATCGCGATTCCGATATCGTACGAATCAGAATTCGCAATTCCAAATCGTACGGACAACGATTCCACGATTAGGAAACATCTGATGCATGCGATTCCACGATTCCGATTCCTGAAACGATTCGAAATCATATGTGTTTCCAACAACTATAATCTTATCTACTATAACCACTAGATATAAACCCATCTATTATAATTGTGCAATCTCCTCTATTTAATAAGAATCCAAGGGTCTACGAAAGGTGAACTAGACACTTTCTCTATTATTGTGAGTGTTCTATATGTATACTTAAAAGGTATGATTAAACAATAAACAATGAATGAGAATGAATGATGTTTAATGGAGATACTCCTATTTATTATACTTGCAACGACCATACAAATAGCTAGTTGTGGAAATTGATATTTGTTGGATAGTTATTACGAATCTGATAATAAATTGTGTCGGCGGTGGTTGTGCTTGCTTTCATGTTAGGATTAATTTATTATTTTAATAGGTTTTCTATATTACAATGATATGCTGAGGCTAACTCTTCCAACTTGAATGCATAAAATACCAGAAATTTCAAAAAGATAGAAAATAAAAAAGATGAACAAAAATGAACTACAATCATTCCTTTCAGCACCAAATTCCTTTCACGGGTAAAATTTAAGATTCACACTTTCAGTGGTATATGGCAAGAAAATACTCATTGCTTATTGTCTTAATAATTTCATTTTTGCATGTTTCTTGGATGTTGATAGCATATTTTATAGTCAATTCCTCATTTTGATTTATTAATCCCGAGTCTCACATCTCTTAAATAACTAATAAAGAGCCATAATGCGTTCTCTTCTACCTAGAGATTTATATGGACATGACTCATCATTCCACTAAAGCTTCCCCATTAAAATATGTTATGTACAACATGATTGAGAAACATAGAAGGATCACGACTCCATTGAGAAACATAGAAGGACCAGGACTCCACCATTAACCAAGAAAAGTAACATGATGCTATCATATTTGAAACTCAGATCACATCTAGCACTTTCATGCTTCATCATGCTAATTCAATGATTATTACTTGAGATCCTAAGATATTAAATGATGAATTTAATAATATTTCATTCCTTTGATATTTATAGTGTTATTTCTCAATTTTGTTAGAAACCAGAAATCAACAATTGTGATGTTTTTGGCATATGTGTAACTTCATTATAATCTACCTAACATAACCACTACAAGAATGTGGTGATGTTATGTTTAATCAACCCCTCTTTCCAACTTGTTGGAAGAGGACAATCCGTATGCAGATTTACTAGCCAATGGAGGTGTTAAGAATGCTTTCTTTTCTCATAGACAAATTGAGATAGTGTTTTGCATCTCTACAACACTGGCATTCTTTTGTTCTACAATTTTCTCACTAGCACAAAAAAGAGCAACCATTCAGATGGTCATTTTAAAGAAAAATAGTACCGGTTGTGCATGCAAATCCCTCCTTGAAGATTCCGAGTCAAATAGCACCATAGGCCGGTTCTCATAATCCTACCATCGCAACATGAAGTAATACATAACCTCAGTTCTATATAGAAAAATCTCAAAAGGATATGTACATTAACATGAAAGAACAAGAGAATATATTTTTTCCTATTATGGGTAGACCGTAGAAATGTTTCTACCTTATTACAAACTATGCAATATGCATCACTTAATTTTGTTAAGAGAAATGATATTGTTTTCTACTCGGTTTGGTGCTCCACCCACCTCAAGAAGCACTTTTAAGATTTGAGGGCTAAGACAATTTTGAAGCCCCTTAATATCAGTCGATGCAAAGTATGAATTTGTTTGGAATTCTCCTCCAAATCTCAATCCATCCCCCATTGAAATGGACAGACCAGATTTTATTTGAGAGCCACAACAAATTTAAGGCATTTTTGGTACTCCAATATTGTTTGGGGTGTGAGAGAATGATTTGCAAATATTTTTGCCTCTTCCCCACTATAAAGTAGTTTTTGAGGTGAGTGGAGCACCAAGTTTGGTGCTTCGAACGCAGCACACTATCATTTTCCTTTAGTCAAATATTTGAAGGAATAACAACCAAAATCCGTACATCTAGTGCTTCCATTAAAGATCTCTCCACATTTAAATATGACTCACATAGCAGTAGATATCCCGGATGCGATGATATGTATTTGCGTTTCTCACAGCTTTTCCAATAATCGCTCCTGGACAGTCAATTTGGTAGCCATTTTCTTCACAACCATAATTCATCCGAAGTCTTTCCTCCTCATAGCTGATACTGCTATGGATTCCCAATTCATAGTGGCAGTGGGGGAAAAGAACATGTTCAATATTAATCCCAGCAGTATTCTACAACAAATATAGAGACCGGTAATTTCTTAAACAATTACAAATTTGAATTCCAAATAGAAAGCTAGGAATAGAGTGCTACTTTGTGATAAGCTTCCATGTTCTTTAGACAATCGGGTTCGTTGGAGTTCCAATAACTCCCTTGACAAGATATTCTTAAATCTTCATATAGTTTATCTGAAATCAGTCCCATTCGATGAGCAAATGGAACCCTAGAATTGTAAAGGATATCATAATCTGTAAGCTCATTGCCTAGGGAGTAGCCCTGATATACCATCAAACACGAACATGTATTAGAACGAAAAATAGACACTCAAAAGGATACATATACCAATCTACACTTAATGACCCTTGTGATCAGATAGGGAGAACCACATATTAAATGAAAAAAAGTCATTAAATGTTGTAGGACACCAGATCTTATATACAACATTGATAGTTTAGTATACTCCAGTATCTCAAAGAAATCAGCTCTATTCTAAATAATTTAAATTGAAAAGCAAGTGCTCAAATTCCAAATACAAACATAAATATAGAATGTGATCTTCTCCCTAATTTCTTCTAGACAACTAAAAATAATCATCAACAAAGTCATAACCATGGTTTGAAAAAGAGAGGTACCTTGAAGTTTATGTTTGGCTTCACACCTGCTTCTATACCTGCACTATAAACCTACTGGTAACATATCAAGAAGAAGCCTACAGTAGATTTAGGAGTTAAGTTATAGTTCCATGCAGCAAATACGATGGCTAAATTGTAAGGATTAACATGTAGCAAGTGGAAAACCTACATAACATTATGAACATAATAAGTACCTAAAATGATTTATGAATATAACAAGGACTGGACTGAGTTACCCTTCACAATTTCTAGTGACAATGTTGGGACATAAGCTCCAGCATACGAGCATCCAGTAACGTAAAGTGGATTAGACAAGAAATCAGGGTACTCGTGAAACCACTGCATTATGACACAGTAAGAGACAATTGCCAACTATATGTTGTGAACTCGAATGGTGCATTTGTTTTATGAAGGAGAACGCAGTTTCAGAAACCGCATTTTTAGGGGGAAGTGGATACCTCGAGTACCATGGGCAACCATGGAACTCACGGTACCTATTATTTAACTTTAAATATAAAGCAAGTGGATATTGCAATGTCCACTTTTTATATAGCATTCCCCTGCTATCAAGCAAGTAACTCCTATTATACTGGAATACGAGGTTTCCAAAACCACGTCTTCTAGTTACCAAATGTGGAATAAGAAAAAAGAGGTGGATAGCTGACCTTTAAAACAAATTTATATAGATCTGAAACAGTCTTGGCATCATCTGTTTCATAATCATCATTATTATCAGCATATGAGAATCCTGTACCAGCAGGTGAATCCACAGCAACAATGTTGGACACCTATAAAGCAGAGGAATTTGAAGTGGAAATTCCCTTTTAAATGGATTCAAAGAAACATGCCCATTGGCATCTCATAGACATACTAAAAGTCATTAGCTAAATAATACATGGTAAAGAGAATCCAGGAAAAAGCTCATTGTTCTCACATTCTATAGTTTTAAAACTTTAAATGGTATGAACATGTAGCTTTAGATCATCAATAGAAAATTTCACATTTGAAAGACAAAGATAATAGAGATTTTGGTATGTTTCAACATGGACAATACCTTGGTCCAAGGGAAAGGATTTAATTTCACTTTCACCCCATTGATCAAATAATCCTTATCCTCCTCGATCTTAAAAGGACCTGCAATGAAATAACCTTTTAGTAATATAGTTTGTATACTAAGGTTCTTAATGTCAAGCAAATTAAAATTCACCTATGATCAAGTAAATGAGACAAACAAATATAAAAGGTAGATCAGGCTCTGGAAACTCTATAATTGATTACCTCGACCTCAAGATATTTACATATTGGAGAAAAAAAAGATTCTAAATCCTAAAATAGTACATCTTGTAACACATTATCTGGTCAATCCATTTTCAAGATTCCCAAATGTTTGTAGATCTGCTCGATCTGACCATTTTTAAAATTTTAAATTTTATAATTAGAGGTGAAAATAGATTCTTCGACCATCCTAAGGATTTACAACACCAAAAATTGCATCCTTCTATAAAGTTTGGAGATGCACCCTACTTTGATAGTTCAAGGTTGACACCTTATGCAAAGCACACCATAAGATAACTAGAATACCAGTTAAGGAGCTTATGATAATCAGTACATGTATAAATTATTCATACTTATCTGGCAAATAGTGAAAATTATTCAAAGATCACTAAGACATTAAACATATAAGTATTTTCTACAACCTAGTTTCCAACATCAAACAAAATTACATCGTGAATGAAATTCGATTTCAAGATGTTCTCAAAGCATACCAAGCGTTACTGAGGTTTCAGAAGACTGTTTCTAAGATGTTATCGACAATGAGAACATTATTTCTAAAATTATCAGAAAAAAATGACTTTCAATATTTAATGGGAAATGCCAAATTGGGGCACACCATTTTACGAGATTAAGAGTTATGATCAAGCTATAAAAGTAAAGCAACTTGGAAACATGTGTCGTTTATCATAGTTGTGACACAAAGTAAAACTAGCTTTGATTACCAATCATGAGATTCTACTGATTAGGAGATAAGACTATGTCATATTTTCTATATACCAATTTGGATTATAAAGGGGCAAGTAGCTCAAGAACCCAACATCTTGGATGGACCTCTCTCAATTAGAAAGAATGTTACCGGAACACATTTAAAATGGACAATTGCATGCCAGCACAAAGAGGAATGAGTCAATACATGGTGATATGATGTTTTAGGAGGCAAAATGTCCTACACACCTCTTTCCTTTTCAGTAATCATGTCATATCCTACGATCTTGTTTACACTAGGATTGGGGTCGATCTCTGAGTGAGATCAACTCAAATCTTTTGTAGAACGAGTTAATTTTAGAAATCAGTAGAGAGAGTGGAGTTGCTCAAATTATGGGCTCATAAACAGTGTAGATCTATACAGATCTAGTCATTTTCGGAGTCCAATGGTAGTGTCAGCTCCAAATCCATATATTAGACCTTAAAAAGCTTCTAAAATTTAACTAAATCTAATAATAAAGAAATTTTCAAAAAATAAAATAAAACAGAAAACAAATAACTAAATGAGAAGAAAAGAGCACATATCTGAGAAACCCAGAGTTGGGGCCCGTATCAGGACCGAGGCGTTGATTTACACCTTTTGATGCCTTCTCTTGCTTTCATGAAGCATAGCTCTAAGGTTTTGGATCTAAGAGAACTTGTTCCTAGGATATGGTCGAGATTTTGAAGGGATTTTTGGAGATTTTAGGCTCAGGATCTCTACTCGAAGTTTTTTTAGCGATTTTTCATAATTTTCTAAAGATTTTCCCCAATTTTATAGGTTTTTTGGATTTTTCTATTTCCCGGTGTTTTGGACAAATTTCATATTTTTCTAGGCCTTATATAATTTTTTCTAATTATTTAGGATTTTTCCTAATTTTCTAGGGTTTTTTTCCTAATTATCTTAATTTCTTTGAGAACTTCTTCATTATCTGGGAATTTGCCGAAGGACTTTTCAAGGTATTTTTCAGTGATTTTTTTGGGATTTTAGAAGGGGTAATTATAGGCTTTGATAGGGCTAGGGTTGAAATTTGTTGATCTAATCTCCTAATTCTAGTTTGATTAGGATTAGGCTAGTTTTTCAAAATTTTCCAAAATATTCTGGTAAAAAACCGCTTCAAATCTGGTCAAAATGGGGTTTAAAACACATTTTGGCCCATTTCTGGCCTGTTAGATCGTGCAACAAGCAGCACGTCGTGCGTTGCGACACATGTTGAGTCGTGTAGGGACCAAAATGTCATCATTCGGAACAAATTTCCCTGGGCCATAATTTTCTAACCGTAAGTGGGATTCAAGTGATTCCTAGACTGTTGGAAAGCATACAACCTCCTCTATAATGTTGAACCAAATTAGCTTAAATTTGAGGTATGTTTGAGGGGTCTACAAAACTAGGTTATCAAGGTCTCCATTTTTTATACGGCTTAAGGTTTCCAACCTACGCCCGATGCCGTTGCAGATCAGGACGACACTCGATCCTTGTTCCGTACTTTTTCTATATGGATTAAGGTTTCCAACCTACACCTGATGCCTTCGCGGCTCAGGACGAGGTTCAATCCTTGATTCCATACTTCTTTATATGGCTTAAGGTTTCCAACATACGCCGATGTCTTCGCGACTTAGGACGAGATTCGATCCTTGATTCCATGCTTCTTCTATATGGCTTAAGGTTTCCAACCTACGCTCGAAGCCTTTGCGGCTCAGGACGAGGTTCGATCCCTAAAACTCATGCAATCCGAAAACCGCAAACCAATAGTCGATGTTGGCATCAGCCCAAGGAACAAAGTTCGGAATTCGGGATTGTTTTAAGCATAAAAGGACAAGCACTTCTGACCCATCCAAGACGTAAGGTTAAAAGCCCCAAATTTATCCTAAGGTTTGAACCGCTGGGCAATGGCGTAAGACCTTACCGACGAGAGTTGAGACCCCACGTTAGTAGTGAAGATACAAGGACTGATAACCGAACGCACAAAGCATTCTATTTCAGAGCCAAGACCTGCCATGGAAGATCAAGAGAAAATAAGAATCTTTGATCTCAAGACCGACGCCTCATAAAGAGTCCAGCCAAAATTTGAAGAAACCCTAATGAATGTTTACAAAATTGGGGCATAGCTTCCGCACAAAACATTGAATCTGAGAAAAAAAAAAACACTGTGTCACACCCAAAGTTTTATATCACTAAAATTCCCGAGATGTGACGGACTATTCTTAAGGAACAAAATAAATTCGAAATTTTTACTATGTATTGCTTCAAAAAAAACTATCCATTCACAAGCTTTCAGACTTGGACACTGTACAAACGAACAATACGGCTGCAATTACTCTAAAAATTTCACAATAGCTTGATGAGTTTGGCTACTCAGTAAGTGACCATCATTATCCTTAAAAATCATGGTTAGAAAGTGTAAATATTTTCTAAACAATGCATATTAAGCAGAATTTCAACGTATTGATTTCACGCATTCTAATACATGCTATTAGACATATTCATTTCTAATCTTACCCATCTTGTATTCCTTATTGGACAAAGAAAATAAGCATGATACATAAACCATATGCACATGATTCATATCAACATCAACAATAAGCTCGGGTCCGAGGCCGAGGTTAGAACTTCTACCATCCTGTAGGGAGAAGCACCACCATCGAGTAAATCCATTGCGTAGTACCTCACACACGCATACATCCCCAACGCGCTTTGGGGCGTTTGATAGGTGATTGCCTTGCAAGACACTACTCCCTAGGCCACCATGGCTAGGAGTTTGCACTATCTGGGTGCCAATCACTATGAATGGGGGAGCGACCACCTAAACATCTCCTGCCCCTACTCCCTTCCTATCATGGGGCATCGAGAAGGTCACACTTGCCGGCACAATCAATTCAGGTCATGCAATATGCTCAAAGCATGCCAAGGAATCACATATCATCACAAGAGACATCACTGTGTCAATAGCATACAATCACATATTATCATGCCTATCAAAACACATATATATCCTCTAACAGAAACACACGGTTTAGCATAATTCATGAGATTTCACAAATACCCTACCGACGTCCCAAGTAGGTCACTTATATACCCCACCAGCATCCTGAAGGGGTCCACACAATCCCCACCGGCATCCCGGATAGGTCCACTTATACCTTACTAACGTACTAGCTAAGGCCAAATAATCCCTACCGGCATCTCAGATAGGTCTATTTGTATACTTAAAGTATTTCTGAAACTCTTTAAACATCGGGAAGCAACAATGTCATATATTCAAAATATCCTTGAAATCATTAACATGACTTCACATGAAGAGATTTATAACAATATCTTTCATTAACATTTCCATAAATAACTAGTCAAACATTTTGGGCAATAATTTCAGAAAGGTAGCAGTTATAAGAGACATTGAAATCTTTACACGATAAACCTTCTATAGACATTAGAAGAATCTTACGGAAATCCAGAGTTGAATACTGCATTTTGAGCTATCTAAAAATTCTTAATGATAAACGGAAATATCACAATTTAATTAGATGCAAAAATACCACTTTTTTTTTAAACTATTTTACAAGAAAATGAGATCACTATCATGACACAAGCATATGAACCAAACCCGAAAACATTGAAGGAGAAACTCAAGCATTCTATAGATTGAATAATGCCACAGCTCCTTTTATGTGTAGGTCACAACACGAACTTCCTCACTTTGAAAGCAAGCAGACAAAGCGAAACACAGAAAGTGTCCAAGGACTTAGAAACTCCAACTTCCTAAACCAACCAGCCCAATTCAAACTTCAACAAAGAACGCAGATAAGCATAAAGCCCCAATATCACAGCCTTCCCTTATAGACTAAAGCTCATAACCGAGCCATTTTCACAGCACTATGTTGAAGTAAAAGGCTCAAATGAATACTAATCAGGACTTTACACATGATTTCAAGGGATACCAAGCCCCGTGGTTTCTTAAACTTATCCAATTACACGAGATATTGGTCCACAAAAACAAAATTTATCCAATTAGAGATGGCATGAAACAAACTTTGAAATTGAAAGACCGATAATGCTTCCATTTGTCACCGTGATGATCTCAGCAAACAATTTATAACTCGACTCCAAGTCACCGAAC